AGAGGCGGGACGTAAACAGAGTTGCTGGTAGAGGCGGGACGTAAACAGAGTTGCTGGTAGAAACGTTTGAATAAGTTTAAAAATGGAATCTATCTCTTTCCAATGTTTCCTCATTTAGAATTACCCTGAATTTCACATTGAATTCAGTACAAATAATCCTGCATTACTCTAAGTCCTAAGATGACTTGCTAGTGGGATCAATTGTTAGGTGGTACGCCAAACGAACCGTTGAGAGGGTCGGTATCACCAGTGTGGAGGTATTGCTGTTTGTAGTACTCTCCTGATTCGAAGAAATCGCCGAGGGTACATGAGCATATGCTCGCCCTCGGCTTAGGTAACTCATAGCAGCTTGTATCATAGAACACGAAGCCAGCCACGTCTGCGAACAACAGCAAATTTAGCATGAGGCTGGAACGGATAAGACAAGACTCATCCACTTCTGTAACATTTGGCATTTGTTATAGGTTTGGAATGTATGAATATAATTGCATTCGTGCGTAATTCATGGACAGAGCGGAATTATTCATCGTGTGAAAATGATATTGCGGGATTACCTGCCAGTGCCGCCTTTCTGGCGCAGTCCTCGAATTTCGTGGCATCAATTGTGGCGATTGTTTCGGGGAAGTCAGCACCGAAGGAATAAATGTACCGAAGAGTATTAAGTTTGTTGTTGGTTGGGTAAAATTCAAGTTCATAGACCTGGAAGATAAATGGATATCTACATGTTAACTAATGAATACACACATGTTCACGTTGCATAGGCCATTTAAACAAAAGCGAACTGTTGTCATGAAAAAATAACGTGCAGCTCAGTGTTCAAAGGAGCATTTTCTCACAGATAACTCGCTATGTTGGTCACAAATTCTCATTCATGGAAAAGTGGATTCTGGGTGAAGAAATTACAATGGAATATACGCACAGTCATATACAGTTTAGTTCTTAATATTGTGTGGAATGCATCATGGTTTCAACATAATGCACTTTATTCATAATTTGTTTAGAATACTCAGAGTCCCGAGATGCCGTCTCACCACGGGAGCTCCCGAGGCGGAGGGCAGTTCCAGGGTCCGGAAGATGCCCTTGGTTTGAGGTTGTCCGGCAGAGGGGCTTGCCCCACATGTCTTGTCTCCCGACCCCAAGTCAGGCAAGAGGGGCATCGGCTCCTGGTGTCGATGAGAGGAAGTCAAGTGATCGTGGAATTTAATCAGCTTTCCAAAATTAAAAGCACCAGCTTCTATTTTTTTGTACGGACAATAAGGCGTACAATTGTGTTCTCTGAGAAATGTGATCCTGGGACCTAGAACTAGGAGCGATGTGTGCATGTTGTTGAGGGATCAAGGATCGAATAAACTTGGGCAATCCAAGCTTTTCTCAACAAATGTCCACTTACCTGGAAGAATGCCAACTAATGTAAAATAAATATAAACGCAACACGGAACATTATATCATAACTGTAATAGAAGAAATATTTTATAGCGAACAACTAGGATTTGTAAAGGTAAGGAACGTTGCAATGACATCGTAGAATAGCAGGGGCCAAGGCAATTCGTACTGACCATAATATAGGGACTGACAACACACGTCGGAGCCAGACCACATTACAGCTGGCTACATGAAGTGACGCACTAGTCCTTTATAACGACATTCTTTTCTCCCAAAATTTGTTGCTACAATCATTAATCTATCTCATAGTCGTACAATCCAATATTTCGTGACATGTTAGCATCAGTACAGAAGGGATATTTATTTATTCCTCATTCAGTCTATTCATAGCCATAACGCCCATAAGGCTTTCGTGAACGTGTTGACTTTCGGATTATGGGGGAAAAGAGGCCTCTCTTCCGGCTGCTCGGGCTCCGAAGACTCTGGTTGTGGCTCTTCAACATCCTGCGGCAGCGCAGGCTGTAGTGACGGCCCAGCAACCTAGGAACGGGATCCTGTAGCATGACTACGTGAAGTCGTCTCAAGCCGGTCGCAGCAGTTTCCGTTTTCCGTTGAAGATATGGTTGCTCATGTGGTGATTTTTGAGGACATGGAGCTAGTTCCTGCACCGACACCGTTGACTCCCACCCGTCTCGATATTTCAAATGGGCGAAGGTGGGATTACAAGCAATCAAGTCTACTTCATCAACAAATGGTTCGATTTCATTGTTGCGAACGTACCGGCGGAGCAGAACCGGCTCGGGAGTCATCAGCCAGGAAGGGCGGGAAGGTCCGTGAGTTGAGCGTATTTGAAACGTGAATAAACTCTCATGCAAAGTACTGTTAGTGGCGGTTGATAGCAGAGACCTCACCGAGTGTAATGCGTCCAGTAATACCGATTCCCAATGCTTAACAGGAAGATCGAGAGCCTCTAGTCTCAGAGCAATAATATTGATCGTCGCAGCTTTCCAAATGATCCCGTTGTATCGTTCACATTGCGCATTCTCGATAATATGATAGGGAGTTGTCCGACTTGTCGCGACTCCCTTCTGGGTTAGATATACCTTGAGTTCTTAAGGCATGAATGATGTTCCTCTGTCAGAATGAATGTAGCCGAGCATGCCGAAAAGTGCGAACAGTGATTCTAGGCACTTTATTACCGTTCTTGTAGACATGTCAGGGCAAGGGTAAGCAAATGGTAAGCGCGGAAATTTTGGCAATCACCGTGAGCATATAAGTTTTGCATGAGGCGGAAGGCAGAGGTCCTTTAAAATCAAGGCTCAGTCGTTCCATTGGTTGAGTTGCACAAACAAGAGTCCCTTCGGGCGGTCGGTAGAAACGAGGTTTTAACACCGCACACACTGCACGTTGAGCAAACTCTCCTGGCATCCTCTGTTGAGAATGGTAAGTTTTCAGATCGAACGAAGTTCAAAAGCCTTGTCATTATAGGATGACACAATCCATTGTGAATGTCGAAGTTGAATTGGATGTTTGAAGGGAAGTGGCGCAATACGAAGCTCGACTTATAGCATCTGGAGCCACGTTTTCTTTCTGGAGCCAATACTGCACGGTGTATGTAAACGAGGCTAGCTCCTGCCTCCATTGGTGAATTTTATTGTATTTAATTTTGGTCCTTTTCCTATTGTCAAGCATGCTGGTTATGAAACAGCCAGAGGAACTAATAAATAGATAGAATTGCTGTGCGTTCTTCAAAAGTAGAATATGTCGAAGTTGAAATTGGTGTACGGGCTAGACTACGACTCATTACTTGTAAGTCGCCTGTTATTACCTACACCGCACAAAAACAAAGAGTCTGCTACGATGAGTATTTTAAGGCGAAAATTAATCGAGTTTCAGATTCTGATGTATACACTGGACATGTCAACCATTACAAACGATTCGGCGATGGTATGTCAACCGGTTTTTCGCATCGGCGATGGAAATTAGAGACAGGAAAGACATTAGGCCTGAACACAATGCTTCATGACTAATAAAGCATGCAAATAATACCTCATTAATAACTAGGCCTAAAACTTTATAGGCCCTCAGAAAAACTTGAGGCCATAATTGAAAATTCTGTGATTTCTGTCCTCGCGATTAAAATTTATCGACCGCAAAAGATCCATTCATCTCTAAAACAACATAATACTACGGCACAAAAAAAAAAAAAAAAAAAAAAAGGAAAAAAAAAAAAAAAAAAAAAAAACGATGTAGACTAAAATATCGTATTTTCAATGCATCTTATAATTTATTTTTTAGTTGCAAATGACTTTACGTTTCGTTTTGCATATAGGGTTATTGCAATGATCCCATTAATATGGGATCATTGCATTCATTGCATTCACATGGGGTTATTGCATTCATTGCATTCATATGAGGTCATTGCATTCATTGCATTCATATGGTGTCATTGCATTCATTACATTCACATGGGGTTATTGCATTCGGCAAAATGCGTCGTGAAGCCAAGAGACAAAGTCAGCGGTAATATTTCAGGGTACGTTGTACAGAAAAATATGCAAAATATTATGAGAAATTTAGAAATTCTAAGGTAAGTTTTATTTCAATTCCACGACCAAGTAAATCATTGTAATAAGCAGCGGCTTCTGATGTTGCCGCAAATTGAACATTTGCAGACTCGGCCTCCGGACACCCGAGTGACGTAGCACACAAAGAGACCGTCAGGGGACTACAGCCCTCGTGCTAAGAGGTGGACTTTTAGGACTTTACTTGACTTTAGGAGGACTTCACTTGACTTTTAGGAGGACTTCACTTGACTTTTAGGAGGACTTCACTTGACTTTTAGGACTTCACTTGACTTTTAGGAGGACTTTACTTGGTTTCCTCACGATTCTTAATGAGTCCGATTCTATCCGTAAAGCTGATCTCTCTGACCCACCTGTAGAGCGACCTGAAACAAGCAGAATTTTTATCGGAAATGACTTGACTACCACTAAAATTGATCTCTATGATTTTTTCGCTAGTTAGAGCTGATGCGGCTACTTCAAGATTAATTTTCCGGCTCGAGAAGCATGACAATGCAATGCTCAATATCATCACTTAGATCGTCTCATCTGATCAAATTAGTAAAAATATTAAACAATATTTTAGACGCGTCACTGGTAATTACTGCTAATTCTCGTCAGAAAAATACACTAATTTTTAGATATTTAGGAATCGTATTTTATACTCCTGCTTTATGTCCTCGCCATCAGCCAGTTGGCTTTCCTAATAATTCAGACTTCTCTTGACTACATTCTCAACCGCAAAAAAATATTATTACAACATTTTCTTTTTTTAATAATAATTTTGCTCTGACATAACATGACATTGCGATATATATTTAAAAACCATAGCATAATAATATTGTCAAGAAAGTGCTGACTAGCCAAAGTCTCTCATAGTATGTGTGCTACTAAACTCCTGTTGAACTCAATGGAAATGAATAAAGTAGGTAATATTGAACATGGGTAATTTTGAACATGTATTATGCGTAGGTGTTAAGAATGCCGGTAGATGCGATATAGCAAGTGTGTAAGGCGCGGTTGTTTCGAGACCGTGGGAAGGAGTTAGTTTACATTGAACGTTGGCGAGCTCAGCGCGAGGGACATTCCAGTCGAGGAATGTGGCGTCACTTCGAGGTTATAGGCTTAACTGTGCGCGACACTAGCGTATATAAGGACCTTAAAATTCGTGCCAAAGGTTGGTCCTACGGAGGTGACCCTCACGCTAGCACGGTCTGCAGTCAGCGAACGTAACGGCCGCGGCCGTGAGGCCGGCGGTGTTGCCATTTTCGAACATTGACGGTCGCTAGAAACCCGGACTTATCGAGGCAGCTGCGAGTTCTGTAAGCATGTCTAAAATCTACAAAGTACGATCGACATCAACGGTACGGCTGCTACTCGGTCGTGAGGCTATGCGAGAGGCCACGAGACGTTATACAATTATGAGGTCGGCAATGGGAAGACTCAAGTTTTCAAGCACCGAGCTCTACACCAGGAATTATCTTCAGTACGGTCATCAATACGAGACGGTCACTATTCGCATTAGAAGAAGCGGTACGGTCACAGTCATCTTCAACCGCCGAAGCACCGCTTTGAGCCTGAAGTAACATCATCGACGATGAAGACTACGCCACTATTCTGAAGTACGGCCGTTGTAAAACAACCTACGGCCAGACTGGCCACAGGGCATCAATATCAGCAAGACACGACGGTTATGAAGAACAGCGATCGCGAGGACGCGCGGCTAAAGCGGCAGTACGACCACTTGGAATACGGCTACAAACGCGCGGCAACAGCTGCGGTACGGTCGCTGAATCTACGGCCGCGAACGTGTGCGCAAGTGACGGTCGTTTACAGCTGTCGGACGCATTGGAACTGCAACGGATCACACGCTTTTTCCGGTAAAATTAGATAATTTTAATGATTTAAACTGATAGGTTTTGGACTTTTGATTGTGTTCAGATTACCTCTGTCAAGTACTAGAGATTTTTGTTAACGTAGGATGTGAACTTGAATTTTTCAATTTAATATGAAATGTATCAGTGTATCATTACAACCCTCTCTTTGTACTATTTTTGCCGTAACCTTTTCAAAAGAGAACCTTTTCAAACGCGCCTATCAAGCGCCACTCGGCGTCAACCTGACAAAAATATAAGTAATGAATATCTTGAACCTGAACGTAATGTAAAATTGGTGGAGTAATGATTACTCCAAGTGTCCAACTTTAAAATATATGATTTTATAGAAAGTACTCTTGATTTTTTTTCTTGTTCTAATCATACATACGCGAAGGCGGCAAATATGTTCAACATATAAGGCCTTGAGCTGTGAGTTAAATTGTTGCACTCCAGGTACCCGACGTAACGTCAACACTTTATCATTGTTACAAAATTCCAGTTTAATCCCAGAATTAAATGTGCTGCAAAAGTATGATAGGAAGCATGTTATTCAAGTTCAGAATGTTACTTAACTCTATCTGCCTGCCTTGAAAACTCACGCCTGCCTCTTCACAGAAATCAGTTCAAAAATTACCAAAGGAAATACTTGTATTTGTTCAGAATATTGAAGGTATAACGTATACTCGATGTTAATACTTACGGTGAGACTGAAGCGCGCGCAGGCCAGCGACAGCGCGAGTAGCACCAACGTCATCGTCAAGTTGTCGCTCGTTGCGGTCACTGGAAAAGATATGAGAAGCGTCCGTAGATTAGAGGTCATGGATTTCAGTAAAGTAGGAGCGGCAGCTTTGGTAAAGAGTTGGCCAAGTAGGCGGGCTGTATGTAAAGTCCATCCGAAGTGTGGACATGCATATTTTGCTGCAGAATGGCAGTCGCAACGAAGGAGTGGCGTTGAACAAAATGCGTTCAATGAGCAGACACAGTAGCTGCCTGATCAGCACCAGGCGCCCGAGGTCGTACGAAGAAAAGGTCGCGTAAAGCCAATTCGTTTGCAAAATTGAAGGTTAGGAGAGCATAGGAGATTTCTCAGTCAGGAGTCTGATTTTATTAGCGCACATAGCTAATGCTTCAATTTTGACAGGCAACATCGAGTATATTATTATAAGAATATGCGTTTAAAAATTACATTTTGAAGACAACACTTCTAAAAAGAGCAGTGGCTCCGATGTTACACATGTACAATGATTTTTTACTTCATTGTTAACTATTTAAAAATTGATTATAATTTTTTCTTTAATATTTAAAAAATTTAATTTTCTAAATTAGTACTTTTGTCTATTGATTCATGCATTGACACTGACTTTATTAAATTCTTTATTCTGTCAATTGCTTCATGCATTGTCACCGACCTTACGCAGTTGTGCAAAATTCCGATCGATTGGACAAATAGAAGTGTGTTAAATATCGATTGTAAGATTTGTAGCAGACAAACAAACAAACATGAAGTGAAGTTATATAAAAGTGTTGTAAAAACGGTCTAATTTAGCCAAAATTTATCCACGCTCGATTTCTCTGTAGATAGCCTCTCGAACCGAGTGTGTCTGTGACGACCGGCACCGATCAAGACTCTAAATTTAAATATATAGCAGGCAGTTGGAGTAAGCCCTGGTCATCTCCGATAAACCATAATTATTCTTCAGAGGCACAATTGTAACTCTTCTTAGCCTTATATATATAGCACACCCCCCGCTCACTCCCGCTCGATAATCAGACTTAAATGAATTCAGGAAAAGGTTCAATTTCATAAGTGCGATCTACCACTGAAGATTTTCGGAAATAAATTGTTCAGTATCGTGCCATTTCTCATGACGTAACACTATTGTATAGACAGGCGAGTCTACAGCTACTCTGGCCATACTCTGACTGTCGCAAATTACGATTGGTCAGGCGAATTGGAAAGCAAATTCAGGCGAACGTGACAGCGTTGCAGGGAACGGGAATAAATGCATCTTAAATTACAAATATATATAGTATTTTGGTACTGATGATATGCGTTGGAGATGAAGACTTCGATATAATATAAATTCAAGTACATAAATAATACACGGATTTTAGTTATTGAAGAGCTCGGAAACTAATTTTTACAATTTTTACAGTGAGATGGTGTCTCAAATGACTTACCTTCCAACTTAAATCAGCACTATAAATTCGATCAGTAAGTTTCTAAGTGGTAGATTTCAAATGTATAAACCAACAAAAAGAAGAATATGTTAAAAGATGTTTGCACCTCTAGGTCCAAACAGCAAATGCTCCGTAGTGAAAGTGACAATCGCCCACTTCAGGACAGGTAACCCCAGACTTCTTTTTTGGCCATCACACGTGTCAAACACACGCACCTTTTTGACGCCGTGCCACCTGTTTGATGAGTCACCCAACGCAACGCATCGATCCGACAAACGAGGACTTTTTTGGTCCGATTGCTGACCCGAGAAGCGTTAAGACACGTGTCATATTTCCTCTGAACTGACGCAATATGAATATTTTGAATAGCTTTCGTGCTTAAAATATCCTTATTTTCTCTTCGTTTATTCTATTGCTAGACACAATAAACTCAACGTTGACGAACAAGTTTTGACGGGATTTTATTTTCTGTTAACAACGAACAGAGACCTACGAGAGCGCGTCTAAATGTAGTTGACGGGGATCACCAGGACTTTTCGTGGCCATTGTTGTTGGGTTCTCAATAAGTTGCTTCTGCGCACAAACATTTGATAACTAAACATACTCTAAATAGACATAATTGTGAGCATTTGAATGTGTGGTAATAACAGACTGGCCCCCGGGAACAATGTCGGCGAGGACGACTTGCCTGCCGGGGCTGAGGGCGGCAGAACACAGAGGTGGCGCTCCAGCGTGGCCTGGGGCTGTTACGTCCGAAAAACATACTCTGGATATTATGAAAACTTGAATTTCTTTTCATCCGTCGACTCTATTCAGACGTGTAGTTCTTAACTAAGATTATGATTATGATTACTAAGATTATTATTATATTAATAATAAAAATTATATGTCTATTGCAACGCCATTTGGAAGTTGAGTTGCAGGCTCAATGTGGTGGAAAATATTCACCTCTTAAATTTATTGCGTTTGGAGTAATTTTTTCACAAAATAAGGGACACATTCTTCTGACCGCTGTAAGTGAAGACCTAAGGTTTGAGACTAAGATAATATTTAAAGCAACCTGTTCGGTGTATCGGATGAAAAACTGCTATAACTTACTACACATTTTAATAAAATCAAACAATTTTTACGAGAAATAGCTTTTTAACAGCTCGTATCTCTTATTTATTAAAAATTGCTCTTCTAATCTTGATAGCTCGAATCTCTTTTCAAAACATCTCATGGAATTTTGTATCTTTCCTTGAACGCAACGAGCTTGATGGAAAATGTTGAACCGAACGGCAGGTTGCATGCGTTTGATGGTCTGGGGCTGGATTATCAAAATATCGCAAAGTACGGATTACTCTTTGTACTCACGAACATGAATTTAGGTAATGTGTAAGTTGTACGATTTTAGGCATTATCAAAACTTACGTACGCAAGACTTGTTTAAAATAGTTTTATCATAACCATGTGGCTGAATAGCCCAGAGCGCTCTCATACATCCTTTATTTAAATCCTGAGTCCGATGTATTCCAGCTTAAATGTTATGTCAGAGGGCGTGCCTGGTGTAGGACCCTGGGGGGAGGCAAGTCCCTGACGGGGATCGATCGACGGCCCGGAAATGGAAATAGTCGTCGTGTACGGGGTTTTTAGTTGACGTTGAGGAAAGACGAGTTCACGACCATCGCACACTTGCAGGACGATGTCCTAATCGTACACTTGCAGGACGCTGTCCTAATCATATGCTTGCAGGACGCTGTCCTAATCGTACACCTGCCGAACGCTGTCATAATCGCACACTTGCAGGACGCTGCATGTTCTAATCGTACACTTGCAGGACGCTGTCCTAATCGAAAACAAAAAAGATAGACCAAATTACAGCAGAGCGAGACAATCCAGAACAGAACAAACCAAACATTCGTTGATATAGTCAAAGTACAAACATCCCACAACACAACCTGGCACTGACCAACAAGGCTCAACTGAAGTTGATTTGTATAAGACTCGGAACCCATATCGCCAGCCTCTCCCACCAGAAGGGTTTCCGTAGTTCCTTTTCCACATCACTAGAACCACGCACCACAAAAGTCAGTGACGAACATTACAAAGTATCCTTCAGTATCAGTCCCAGGCACCGACTATCCGATACCAATATAATCAAACTATTTACATTTACCAGAACGCAACACTTGAATGGATTATATTGCCCTGTACGCGAGTTAATTAGTGATCGTAATGGGTTATGCAGTCATTAAATTTATTTTTATTTTAAGGTAATACAGGGTTATTCTACAGGCTAAAACCAATGTAATAAATACGTTTTTTACTTAAGTATATATTAAAAATTAATAATTTATGCACTGATGGAAAGAAAAAGCTTTATTTTTAAATATATAAAAATATTCAAATGTCCCCCTTGCGCTTCAGGGCAGACATCTAAACGTTAGCCAAACTCGTCCCACACACGAGAAAGCATATCTTCTGTTACTGAGTGCACCGTAGCAGTGATACGGTTCTGCAGATCAACTAGAGTTGCTGGTAAATGCGGGACGTGGACAGAGTTGCTGGTAGAGGCGGGACGTAAACAGAGTTGCTGTTAGAGGCGGGACGTAAACCGAGTTGCTGGTAGAGGCGGGACGTAAACCGAGTTGCTGGCAGTACCACACCAGCGTGCAGCACCACAACCACACCAGCGTGCAGCGCCACAACCACACCAGCGTGCAGCACCACAACCACACCAGCGTGCAGCACCAAAAGTTAGGACATCAACTGTTTCTTGGTCGTCGAAAAGCTAGTTTTCAACACTATTGCTTAGTGGTGAAAAGGCTAGTAAATCAACACTATTGCTTGGTTGTTGAAAAGCCAGTATATCAACAATTTTTCTTAATCGTGGAAAGGCTAGCATATCAACATTATTGCTTAGTCGTGGAAAAGCTAGCATATCAACAATATTCCTTAGTCGAGGAAAAGCTAGTAAATCCACACTAATGCTAAGGCGTGAAAAAGCTAGTATATCACCACTATTGCTTAATCGTGAAAAAGCTGGTATATCACCACTATTGCTTAGTCTTGAAAAAGCTATTATATAATACTATTACTTGGTCATAGAAAAGCTAGTATAGCAACGCTATCGCATAGTCGTGAAAAACTAGTGTATCAACACTATTGCTTAGTCGTGGAAAATTTAGTGTTTCAAAGCTATTGCTTGGTCGTGGACATATAGTGTTTGAAAACTATTGCTTAGTTGTGAAAAAGCCAGTACTATATCAACACTATTCAGGGAAATCCTAGAGCTGATTCTTGAAAATATCTTCCTGGATTTCAAAGGAATCTTCTTTACCCAGTTAAAATTCTGAGTCGCGACTGGCGATACAATTTTGAGTCGCGACCGGTGATACCCAGTCGAAATCCAAACTCCATTCAGGGGCGCCGGAGGCTCGCCATAGCCGCCTTAAGGCCCGTTCACACTAGTGGCAACGACATGCGCTTTGAGTCGTTTGCTGCAGTGCCTCACCGCGCACAACCGTTCACACTACGTTTGTAAGCAATAGCTCGAGACCGCGCGCTTTGAACAGTAGTTGCCACCTAGACCTCAATAAAAAGTTACAATATTCGTACCAATATTATATCATTCTTTCAAATCGCTAAACGGTAATTCATAAATTGACAGGAGTACCTAGCTAAAATCACAGAAACTAAACACGTCATGCAAAAGTAACTTACATCATTTGAAATCTGAATGTCTTCATCGAGAGTAGACGTTGACTGACGAAGAGGATCGCTGTCGTTGATGAACATCAATGATTCAAAGCACCATAGTTTCGGTTTGTACACTTGGTCAGCACCTGCGCCAGATTTGGTTGATTCTCGTTTCAGCTTAATTAATCACGATGGAATTGTGAACGCAACGTATGGATTTTCTTTCGAACTTTAGCAATGGTGACTTCTACACACAAGTTTCTTATAAAGCTCCAACCATTTTTCTGTGTGAACACTCCATAGGCATTCATTTTCATTCATTTTAGAGCCTAATTCAAGATCAATTAGGCTCTCTACAAGAGAGTGACTACAAACGAGAGTTGTGTTTGTCGACATTTGGTGTGCCGGACCAGCGTACACAATCAACCTTACTAGGTAGACCACAGACAGCTATCTACTAAGAATTTAAAAGCAAAGAATAGTCCACAAAAATTCATATCTATATAGAAAACGTTTCGGAGATCAGTTCCATCGTCAGTTCGTAGAATCTAGAATCACAAATCAGAAGTCACAAATTAATACATTGAAAACACAGAATGAATTGAATTTCTTTAGTTAATAAATTTAACTTTTTAGTTTAATTTAAATTTTTTGTAATTTAATTGAAATTCTTTGTCAATTTGCGAGTAAAGCAAACAAGTGATAAAAATTCTTTAATACCTAGCTATCTACTAAGTGCCGCGCTTGTGTTTCATGAGGCATGGCCCGTCAATCGCTAGCTCGTCAATCGGTCAAGAAGCGCATGCAGCGGCTGTAAAGCGCCTCTACATGCGCTTTGAGGCACTTAATTGATTCTTGTGTGTTGCCCCCAGGGTTGGCAATGATTAAATCAAAATGATTAAATCATGTGATTAAATCAGTTGATTTTTTTATAAAAAAATCATGATTTTTTTTATTTTTTCGATTTATTTGATTTTTTCATATATTTAAATATATTGAGTGGCAGTCTTTAATTTATTTTGAGGTCTTGTTATTCGTGGTTTAGTATAAATGTCCTATGAATGACAAATTGGTATATAAACTTGTTGCCTTTAGTGTGTATTAGGTTCCAATAAATTGAATGTTTTTGGTACAGAGGCATCAAGTGTGCATTACATTGTACGTAGATAGCAGCTTAGCTAATTCTTATAAGGCTATAAGTTGTCTTTAACTATTTGTTATATTTTGATTACAATATACAATTTAAATGTGTTAGCTAGCTTATACAGGGTGGGGCAGAACTGATTGAACAGTTTTGAGGCGAAATAAAAGAGTAATGGAGGTACATAAAGAAGAAAGTTAATTTTCCTGGAGGTTAGCATAACATACCATTTAGAACAGTGGTTCCCAAACTTTTTCAGGCTGGCGCCCCCTTTGGCTGCCTAGTGAAT